CTTTCTACATTGTCCTGCGGTCCCTTCCAGGTGAGGACTCCAAGGTCATGTGGGAGGGAGCCCTCTTCCCTTAGTTGTCTCTCCTTCCCTAGGATCCTCATGCCTAATAGCCACCTTGTATTCTATCTATCCCAGCCAGCCCAGGGTGCCAGGGTCTCAGACTGCGGTCCTTACCCATCTAGGAGGCTCTCTCAATGCCTGTTTAGGTGGGCTACCCCATACAGCACACATGGGGCTGCCAAGCCTGGTGCAGAAGGGCTCACTCAGACCTTTCTGGAGGTCCTACTTCCTGGCATTCATACTTTCAGATGAAGTGTGAACTGGACGGAGTGGCTCACACCTGATCAAGAAACTGAAGCCAAACTGAAGGAGTGTGACTCAGAGACTAGTTCGTGATGGGCAAGTGGCCTCTGACTCCTCCACTCACTTATCTTGGGAGGAGCCATATCTTGACAGCTCATGGAGAGTCCCACACCTTCGCTGTCATCAGCCACCCGAGTGGGCATGAAGCTTGCCCTTCAGTGCTGCTCACACCTTCCTTCAGAGATACAGCCCCAGCCAAAAGCCTGGCTGCTGCTCCTGAAAACCCAGGGCCAGAACCTCCAGCCAAGCCACAGTTCCCACCGTCAAGGTGCTAATAAGTGGGAAATAGCTAAGGCTGGCAATGATTTGTTCAATATAGCCACAGCTAAGAATTTGGTTACCTCCAAAGGCAAGTCATGAGTCCCTCAGTCCTCAGCCCCCAGCCCCCATGCCCAGCCCGCGTGGAGTTGAGTTAAAGTGCTTATGTGAGATTTGGCACAGTCAGTTTGATTTATTGGGGAGCTGGGTGAGGGATGGGGCTAGCGGTCTAAGCACTCAGGGGTTCCCAATCCATTGGGAGACAGAGAGGTCCATTCACCCATTACTTACCATGATCCTTGTAACCCCCAAATCCAACTCCAAAGAGGAAACTAACCCTGATTCAGGGCAGAGGGTCAAGTTTGAGGACTCATAGGGTAGGCAGACATATGACACAGGATATGACTTTTCTCTGAAGAGAGGAAGGAGCATATCTGAAGCTGAGCAAGGTTAAGAGTCAGACACCCACACCCAGAGCAGCATGCAGGATGCAGCAATGATAGGTGGCAGTGAGGGGCGTGGCACATGCCATTGGCCAGGCCTAGGAGCAGAAGCTAAAGGCCTTGAACGTCAGGCTGATGAGGAGGGTAGGCATTATCCCCAGGCCCTAGAGAACTCGTAAAGGAGGTCAGATTTATTTGAGAAAGGATAGAGGTGCTATCCGGGGTGCCCAGTATCTGCGAGGACAGTGACTTCCAGGGTGCTGAGTGGTGGTGAGGAGTCACCCAGGTAAGGAGGAAGTCTTAGGAAGGGGAAGGTAACATTCCAGGCTGGGGGAACAGCACAGCAAAAGCCCAGAGGCATGAAGGAACACGGGCCATTCAAGGAACAGCAAAGGTCCATGCTAGGACAGAATCCTAGGAGTCAAGGAGAGAAGATGAGCACAGAGGAAACCAACCAGACAATGGGGATGGGTGGATGGAGGCTAAGACAAATGGACACCTGTCCCCATTGACCCCTCCATATCCACTCAGACAGGCTCCACCCTGCTTTCTGTGCCATGAGCACCGCCCCCCCACCAGCTGCTTCTTTCAACTTCCCACTGGTATTAGGCAACAACAGGGTCTCAAAAGGAGAATGAAGGAAGGGCAGAGCCAGATGCGAGAATACATTCCTGCTCCTGCCCTGACCTGTAGGATCACCTGAAGCCACCTGTGCCCCTTGACAGAGGATAGCTGTGGTTCAAGTATCCACCTCCTCCATCTGTCTCTCCATACTTCAAGGGCAGTGTCCAAGGCAGATGCCAAAGCCCCAGCTTATGGCACCGTTCTTTGTAGTTTCCAATTCCCTACATTCTTCAACTCATCCTCTGCTTCCTGCTGGGATCTGAATCCCAGCCTAAGAGTGATGGGGAGCCATGGAAGTGAGGCAGAGGAGCTTCCATCAAGCCTCCTTTGTAAATTCCAAGATGAGAAGACACAGGAGGCGTGATGTAAATCTGCCTTCTCCTTGGAAATATAGGAGGGGCTACCTAAAGCCACCGGCTCCTTTGAAATTGTAAACAACAGCAGCAAAAACAATGGCAAATGAAACCTCATTACAAATAGGAAGCAATGGAGACAGAGACAGACAGACAGATGGATGGATGGATGGATGGATGGAGGGAGGGAGGGAGGGAGGGATAGATGGATAGATTCCTGGCAGAAGAAAGTCCAGAAGGTTATGTGAGTTTGGGGTGAGCCTCCCCCATCTTACCTACCCAGAGCCACTGTCTGAAGGATTTGAAGTTGCTAGTGGACAGGATCACAAGTATTTCCCCAACTCAGAAAGTATAAAAAGTTACAGATAGAGAGCTTTTTGAGTCTTTAATTTCCATTTCCTTCATGGGGAGTAGGCAATGTTTCTTTCTCTTCTCCATTTCTCCCTACTTCAACCCTGTTAAATCATAAATCCCTGCTAAAGCTTTCACCTTGTGAGACTCCTCTCCTCTTTGTGAGATGCCCAAAAGAGCTTTTCATGAGTGGATCACAAGGACCTGTGATTTTTTTTTCTGTTTTCATGGAAACTGGGAAGCTGGGCGAACTCCTTGTCCATCCTCTCCAGTGGCCGAAGGGGAATGATGTGGTCAGATTTGTGTTGTAGAGAGCTTAGTGTGTGGGTGTGTATGAAGGAGGGATGGAGCCAGAGGAGTGGAAGCCAGAGCAGAGACACAAGGCTAAGTTGGGACCCTTTGTCATAGACACAGAGCGTTCCAGTGTGTGTGTGTGTGTGTGTGTGTATGTGTGTGTGTGTGTGTGTGTGTGTGTGTGTGTGTGTGTGTGGTGGGGGTTCTGATACAAGCTGTAATATTTTGGTTACCATTTGCAAACCCTCCAAGCATCCACTCCCATTTGTTACTTGACTCTATTGCTCTTTCCATCCAGAGGTAGAATCTCTTTCTTACTTGCTTCATGACTTGCTTTGACCAATAGAAGTGTCACAGTATAAGTTGTGCAGCCCGGACCTCCAGCCCTCAGCTCTCATTCTTTTGTATTCTAGCTGCAGTTTAAAAACCAGTCAGGAGAGAGTGGGGGCCCAGTGTCCCCCATAGGTAGAGGGGCCCGCTCCTGTGGCATCTCCAGCCATCCCAGAAGCAGAGAAGAGCCCCTCAGTGAACCCACAGACTTGGGGAGAAATAAGGAGCCCACTTTGCCCCCACAGGGTCAGTTTAGAAGTGGCCTGTGACAGTGGGATGGCTGGCTGGGATGGATGTCCTTTGTAACCTCAGAATTTTTTGAGATCTTCCCAGGGACTCTTCCTCCACTGTTCATACCTGGAAGTTGTCACTCCCTTCCCTGACTCCATTGTTCCTTTTTCCCAAACCTTGTGTGACCCTTGTATGGTATTGGCATTGCTGATTGCATGAATTCAGCTGCCTGAAAGTGTCACCACTCCTAATTTACATATTCCTTCCATGAAGGCATGGATGAGCAGATAGATAGATGAGCAGCACAGAGACTCAGGGACTACTCACAACACCAGAGAGAGATTCTGTGATCTTCACTTACCAGATGACATCAATGAATGGAGGCCAAGTGACTCAAATTTACACATTTGGGGGTCAGTATTAGTGTTTGAATTCAAGGCCCTTTGATTGCTAGGCAAATGCTCTGCTGCTTGAGCCATACTTCCAGCCCTTTTTGTGTAAGGTTATTTGCGTGTATGTGTGTATGCATGTGTGCATACATGTGTATACCAGTACCAGGGTTTTAATTCAGGGCTTCAAACTCTTGCTTGGTTTGCCTGCTCATGGCTGGTACACAACTCAGTATTTTTGCTGATTAGAGATAGTTTTTTGGACTTTGAACTATGATCCTCCATGTCTCAGGCTCCTGAGAGGATTACAGGTGAGGTCTACCCGGCTTGGCACAAGTAGCTCACTCCTTTTGTACTGGCTACTCAGGAAGCTAAGATTCAGAAGATTCAAAGCCATCCTGGGTAGAAAAGTTTGAGAGACTCCCTCTTCAATGAAACCAGCAAAACTCCAAGACTGGAAGCTCCAGTGGTTGAGAACTAGCTGTAAGCAGGATAAACCAGAGTCTGAGTCCCTGTGTCCCAGTACTGGCACAAAACTAAACAAAACAAGCTGGGTGCCAGTGACTCTCATACCTATAATCCTAGCTACTCAGGAGGCTGAGATCTGACAATCAAAGTTCAAAGCCAGCCTGGGCAGGAAAGGCTGTGAGACTCTTATCTCCAATTAACCACAGAAAACTGGAGGGGGCACTTTGGCTCAAGTGGAAGAGTGCTTTCCCTGAGAACAAAGAGGCTCTGGGACAGTGCCTAGGCCTTGAGTTCAAGCCCCAGGACTGGAAAAACAAAAACAAAACAAGTTTATTTCATTATTGTCCAAGACCAGGACTCAAACTTGGTATCTGAGCTTGTTTTCACTCATTGGCTGGAGCTCTACCACCTGAACTGTGCCTCCAAACTCACACATTTACACTTCTAATATCCTTCCTGTGTTGCAGGTTTGGGTGTGAACCTACTCCAGAGGGGAGGGAGCTGCTCCCTCTTAGGAGAAGGAAGAGCCAAGCATCAGTTCCATGCAGCCATTCCCCATTCACTCACTACAGACAGGTGTCCCCCACCCAGGAATGCAGAATTCTCTTGCTCAGTGCATCACCCAACAGCAGCACATATAACCCTGCACCTCCCTACTGTTTTCACTGTGCTGGTCTGTCCCCAGCCATATCCTTCTTTCTTAACAGAATGGAACCAGAAGTAACAAAGTAATGGGTCAGGAAGAAGGGGACCAGTGTGGTTGATCCTCTCCAGCCCAGTCTGACCCAGCTACTGGGAAGTGAAGGCATGTCAGGGCCATAGGGCCAGTCTGGGGATCAGAGCTGAGGTTTCAATCAGCCTACTTGGTTGGGGTAAAGGAGGGATAATAAAAGGACTAAAATAGAATCCTTTCATTTATTGAAGTAACCTTTTTGGGCCCTCTGTTTTGCACCAAGGCTGAGGGCTGAAGTTGTAAGGGTAAGAGGCTTGCTCGTGGAACAATCAGCCCACTTGACTCCAAGGTCATCTTAGTCAGAACTGAGATTCAGAGGGAGATAGTCAGAATGCTGTTCTCCTTGCCTACTTCCTTCTAGTAACTAGGGCTGCCATGCCATAGCTCAGAGTCTCCAGCAATTGGAAGGTACCAAAAGAAGAAAGAGTGGGATTTAGTGTCCACCTCAGTTTTTTCAGCTCAGGAAAGGACATCCAGGATAGGGAACATGGGATAGGACTGGTGGCTTCTTGTGTTGATTTTCAAGGAAATCTGCATTGCTCTTTTCCCCTACATTAGCTCCTATAATCTTTGAGTAACATTACAACAGAATAGATCTTGGAAATCATTCTTTTCCAGTCCTCTTATCCATTCCACAAAGAAGCAGATAGAGGCCAGAGTGGGAAGGGAAAGGGGTGACCTGCTGAGCTTTTGCAACAGGAATACAAATCACAGATGCCAGGGTCTGTCTCCTGCCTGTGATGCCAGCTGCACTTGGAGTTGCAGGAGGCTAGAAAGGCTCTGGAGACTAGTTCAGCAACACCTCCTCCAGGAAGCCTCCTCCAATCACAGCACTTTCTAAGGGCTCCTGAATGCTGATCCTGACCTCCAAGGCAACCTCTTCATTGGCTGGAGGGTCTCAGATGATCTCCAGGTGTTGGTCTGCAGGAATGTTGAACTTGAGCTTATGAGCCTCAAAGAGGTTGCACAGTTCCTTGATATACTTCTGGTGCAGCTGGCTCACCTCCTCCTCTGAAGGATTCATTATCTGCTGTACTTCGATGGGCTTTCCCACTGCAAGGCACAGACAGGGAACCATTAGGGTCACAGGGTCCCTGGGAGTGATGCCCACTCCTACCCTCCTACAAGGAAAATACTCTCCCATCCTTTCCCTCCCTAATTCTTTTTTCCATGACTGAGCATTGAACCTAGGGCCTTATGTATGCTAGGCAAGCAGTCCACCAGTTGAGCCAGGCTCCTAAATCTCAGGCACTGGATTCTAAGGTGTTGACAGAACTCTGAGTAATGTATATGTGTTTTATGTTCTCCCCTTTAATCCTGTTGTTTAACAGGATAACAAACCTGTTGTTATTCCCATGATATGAGTAAATGATGCTCAAAGAAATTAGGTAATTTGTCCAAGGTCACATAGCTCAGAAGGAGTAATACTGGATTTTGATATGGATTTTGCTGTTGTTGTTGTTGTTTGTTTGTGGGGGGTTTTTGGTGCCCCATCTTGAGGCTTGAATTCAGGGCCAGGGTACTGTCCCTTAGTTTTTTCACTCAAGGGTGGTACTCTACCACTTGAGCCAGGCCTTCACATATAGCTTTTGCTGGTTAGTTGGAGATAAGAGTCTCGAGGAGGGCTGGGAAGTTGGCTCAGTGGTAGAGCGCTTGCCTTGCATGCCTGAGGCCCTGGGTTCGATTCCTCAGCACCACATAAGCAAAAAGAAAAAAGCCGGAAGTGGCGCTGTGGCTCAAGTGGTAGAGTGCTAGCCTTGAGCTGAAGAGCTGAAGGAGAGTTCAAGCCCCACGACCGGACCTCCTCCCCCCCCAAAAAAAGGAGTCTCGAAGATTTGTTGGCTTGAGTTGGCCTCAAACTAGATTCTCAGATCTCAGTTTCCAGAGTAGCTTTACTGCTACTTTGTACACAATTTTAACATACTTCCCTGGTATTCACCTTCTCCAAATTAGTCTTATGAAATCAGACTTAAACTCTTTCTCTGACATAGTAAAAATGTCAGCTGGAATGTCATTCAAGTTTCAACTTTGTTACTCAAAGGCAGTGTAATCTTTTGGATGGACGGAACTTAACTTCTCTGAGTCTCAGTTTACCACCAGTGGATAAAGATAACAGACTCTACCTCAAAGGTTGTTAGGGTCAACTGAACCATGGCAGGGAAGGCAGCCAGCATAGTATTTGTCACATAGCAGGCCCCCTGACCTCTTCCATTGAGAATAAGCCACAGAAATCAGTGCTGATATTGCTCTTGTTGTCTTTCTTACAACTAGTATCCAGACTGTCTCCTATTAGGGATATCTGCTTGAGCATGTATGTCCCAGTTTTGAACATGAACACCGAGTGGTCAGGGATGTGTCTGGCTCATGTTCACATCCTACTGTTCCCCACCCAGTCTAAATCTTGACTCACCTATGGTGGTGATGGGCTGGCGGAAGGGCATGAGACCAAGGCTGTACTGAAAGACACCACGGCCATGGAACAGTGGGAGAGAAAGGTACATGATCTTTTGCAGCTTGTTCTGGACATAGCGGAGCCAGGAGCCAGGAGGATTGCTAACTTGTTTATACAGGTCATTCTCCCCAAAGGAGAAGATCGGTACCAAAGCTGCCCTAGAGAGACACAGGAGAGGGGATGTGGGAGGCCCCAAACAAGACACAAGTTGTAAGGTTACCTAGCTTCCTGCAGGGACTCAGTGGCCAGGAACTGGAGAAGGAAAGAGCGCTCTGGGTCAGAGATAGGAGGCCTGGAATTAACTAGACCTGCAAGATGCTGGGCCCTGGTGGTCTCTCTCAGTCCTAGAACTTACCAGATATAGATGACAGGCTAACTAGAAGCTCCACATACAAAGCACGTGCACTTTTCCTCTAGAAAATTATCTTCAATGGCTCAGACTCCTCAAAGATGCTTCACCCATGGTGGGAAAATGGTTCTGCCAGATACTCTCAACCCCATTCTTCCAGATCCTGTATGTTTCAGGTCTTATTCCCCGCCCCTCCCATCTCATTCTTTAAGAATTTGACTATGAGCCAGGGGCTAGTGACTCATGCCTGTAATTTTGGCTACTCTAGAGGCTGAGATCTGATGACTGCGGTTCAAAGCTAACCTGGGCAGGAAAGTCCATGAGACTCTTATCTCCAATGAAATTTTAAAAAAAATGGTGGAAGTGGAGTTGTGGCTCAAGTGGTAGAACACTAGTCTTAAGAAAAATAAATTTAATCTGAGATACCAAAATAGATTTTTTTTTCTTTTGGTCATGGGGCTTGAACTCAGGGACTGGGCACTGTCCCTGAGCTCTTTTGCTCAAAGCTGGTACTCTACCACTTTGAGCCACAGCACTACTTCTGGTTTTCTGGTGGCTAATTCAGCTGGCTTTGAACTGAAATCCTCGGATCTCAGTCTCCTGAGTAGCCAGAATGACAGGCATGAACCACCAGCTCCTGGCTGCAAAATAAAATCTTCCTCATGAGTGGACCAGAGAATCTGTGTGCTGAAATAGAATCTGTGGCAGGCTGTCCTGTCTCCTCAAAACACAGTCATTACCAGTCTCTGAACCCAGAGTTCTCTCTCTCTCCCAAGAGCTTACACACCCGTTTTCCAGGGCAAGCCTGACGAAGCCCATGCGGTTCTTCAACACAAGCTTGAAGGCTCCAGGCCTGGCATCCAGTGCCTCCCGGGCGCCCCCAATGACGATGGCCAGCAAGTTCCCACCACCTTTCTTCTTCAGAATGTAAGTACCGCTGCTTTTATCTGAGCTGACCAATCCTGGGGAGAGAGAAAGGTGGATCCACTATTTCATCAGGGAGCAGGATTTTAAGGAATGGGTGTACCCAAGAAATAGCCCACCAGCCATGCCCATTGCATCCCAAATCCAGCTGTGGCTTCTCTTTTTTCCTACTCCCCTCCCTGGGCTCAGTGCATAGCACGGTGCAGCAGGAAGTTCTTCTTTGGGTCTATATCCTTTTTCTCCTGTCTATGCCCTTGGGAGAAGTACAGAACTACTGCCTCCCTAAAATTCCTCCAGCCTCACTTTCCTGAGTTGCCCTGGGTGGAATGGGGAGACTCACCAAACGACATGAGGTAATCACGGGAAAAGGGCGCGTGGAACCAAAAGTTCAATATCATGAGGAAGGGGCGGATGCCCGGGAAAATAGAAGAGAAGCCGGTGCTGTCAGTGCCCAGGCTGAGAAAGGCACCGGCCACCAGCACACCATGCGGGTGGAAGGCAGCCACATAGTTCCGGGAGGGGTCCAGATCCGCCGTCTTCACCAGCTGTGCGGTTTGGGATGGGGACAACAATCCGGTCAACTACAGCCAGGCCTGCCTGCCAGGTCTGAGGCCCCTCTCACTAGAGACCCTTGGGACAAAGCCTCAGGTTCTACCAGCCTAAGGTTTCTCGGGACGGTGGAGGGTGGTGTGTGACATCTCCTGGAGCTGCCACGGTGCTTGGCTTTGCACAAATGACTCTCGTTCCACATAGCTGTGAAAAGGGGGACACGAGGCCCTGTCCCTTTACTTCCTTGGGTTGCTATAAAGCTCAGGCCTAAGATGGGCGCCTGTGGCTTACATCTGTAATCCCAGCTATTCAGGGGGCCAAGATCTGAGGATCACAGTTCAAAGCCAACCCAAGCAGAAAAGTCCACCAGACTCCTATCTCCAATCAAGCACCAAAAAAATCTCAGCTCCACTTTCAACATTTTTGGTGTTTTATTGGAGATAGGAGTCTGGTGGACTTTTCTACCCAGGCTGACTTTGAACTGTGAACAAAAGCTATGTACATATGACCGTATAAGATGATGTTAATTGAAATGAAGCCCAAGATAGGTACACAACTTGTTTTTTTTTCTTTCTTGCTACTGTTTTTAATGTATCTAAAATGTACTATGTGACTTTTTTTGTTTCTTTTGTTCTTCCCCCATTGTATAAACCCTGTTGTCACTATGTTTGATGTCGGTGCCCTGCATCTTGTATATGCATTTTTCTAATTTGGGGAGGAAAAGGGAAATAACAAAATGCTGAAACAAGGATACAGGTTGACCCATTGTAACAAGACACTATGTAGAAAACGAACTTTACAACTGGGGGGGGGAGGGGGAAGGGTTGAGGGGGAAGGAAGGGATGGTAGGGGAAAAACAAAGGAGGGGGTAGCAATGCTTGATAGGAAATGTACTCATTACCTTACTCGTGTAACTAACCCCTCTGTACACTATTTTTACAATAAACAAACAAACAAAAGTGCCTGGAATGACCAAGTATCAGATAGGATATAATGTGCAAGAATCTATGGCCACTAGGGGGCGCAACAATGCCGAAGCTATCAGTCTAACAACACTCAATGTAAGAAATTGGCCCTTTAGCAGGATGTTGATGGAGAGGGCTCCTTATCAGGCTGAAGGAGTCTGCAGACCCAGAGGCTGGCTCTGGATCCTTTACCATCTCATACTAAATGAGTGTCACCCTGTGGCTCTGTGTCCCTCCTTCCAGGCTGGACCTTCTCTGCCCTTTGTCCACTCTCTTTTCCTGGCTGGGAGCTGGCCTAGTCAGGTCTGCGTCACTGAGGGTGTAGCAGAGTCTATAAGGCACTGTACTTGGAGAGGTAGACAAGAGATCTACTTGTCAAGAGCTGCTTCTAGGTGAACTGGGGTGAAGGTAGAGGGGTGGGAACTGAGCAAACAAACGCTGTTCTGCATGGGCTGTGCACAGAGCTGAGTCTGCAAAGATCATTGCCAGAGGCCGCAGTGGTAAGCCAGGACCAGTTCCTTCCCCTGCCAGCAGGGATCCTGAGACTCGCTGCCCCATCCCCTAATTCCTGAGCAGAAGGCTCCCTAGTGGAACTGTTCTCCCAATAATTAATTGGCGGGGGGGGGGCGGTGTAGGCAGCCCTTTCTAATCTGGCTTAGCTTTTTCAGGGAAGTTCTTCCTACCATCATCCTGACTCCCAGAGGATTCTTGTTGCTGCCTTTGCCTGGCTTCCTGTCCTCAGAGCAGCTTGGAGGGTCCTGAGCTTGACTGCTCATCCAGCTGCACAACTGCAGTGTGTGTGTGTGTGTGTGTGTGTGTGTGTGTGTGTGTGTGTGTGCTGGTACTCAGGCTGGCTTAGCTTTTTTTTTTTTTTCTCTCAAAGCTGGCATGCTACCCTTCTGGCTTTTTGATGGTTAATTGGACATGAGTCTCAAAGACTTTCTTGCTTGGGCTGGCTTTGAATCATGATCCTCAGATCTCAGCTTCCTAAGTAGCTAGGATAAGCCACAGGTGCCCAATCAGCTCTATATTCTGTCATTGATCTGGACTTGATCTCTGCAACTTGCAATCCCTTTCTTTTCCCATCCACCAATATTCTCTGGGTTACATGATGGTCTTTGGCAGAAGGGCTGCTGAGAACACAGGTGGAGGGAAGGTAAGACCAAACCTCTTCCCTTGGTGCAGCAGAGGATGTATGAGATATGGAAATGCAGACAGAGCTGAGACCCACATTTTCTCCCTGGGAGAGGCACAGGCACACTGACCCCACCTGGTGATGAAACAGTTGCATATATACTTTCATTCTCTGTTCAGGAGGGGGAACTTTGTTCCTCCAAAAACAAAAAGCAATGTGACAATACCTATCACAACCACAAGAAAGAAAAGAATTTGTCTTTTAGCACAGTAGTTCTTTGGCTGAAAATTTTGCTCTACAGAATTGCTCACACTTGAACAAAATGACATCTGGCCCACTAACAGTCACATTGTTTTATAGTAATATCAGACACTGAGCATCTGCCCAAATATCTAACAACAGGACCTTGTTTAGACAAATTGGGACATTGTAGCCATAGGGTATGAAGCTGCTCTTCCTGCCAGGGAGGAGACATGCCAGGGCAGCTTATTAGGTGGCAGTGATAGTGCATGTTGAACAAGGTAGCCGGAGGGAGAAGGGGCAAGCACATCTACTTGTATGTGGATATACCAATCACAGTCTGTTGTAGTCATTACAAAGTACGGGACCTAGAGAGATGGGTGGGAACTAGGTGGATTGGAACCTTTCATAGCTACTCTTTGGCCTCTTTTTCAAGATTCTGGGCTATGGCTTGATGGTACAGTGCTTGCTTCACAGGTGCAAGGCCCTGAGTTAATCCCCCCAACATTACAAGGAAAGAACACCTTCTTGTCTGAATTTTGAACAAGAATGTATTACTACTTTCAATGACCAAGATGAATAACTGAATGGGCCCTTAATAAAGAAGTTTAAGCCAGGGGCCAGCAGCTCATGTCTGGAATCCTAGCTACTCGGGAGGCTAAGATCTGGAGGATTGTGTTTCAAAACCATTCTGGGCAAGAAAGTCTGAGAGATTCCATTTGTAAATAACCAATATTTAATCAAGTAGTAGAATGCCAGCTGAGTGCAAGTGAGGCCCTGAGTTCACACCTTGGTAATCAGGAAAAAAAATTGTGTATAGAGAAACATCTTGGGGCTTATGTCTAGACAAGCGGTCCAATATTTGTGTGACTATTTATATACACATGTCCAAGTGTGTGCATTGTGGGATCATCATAGGTCCACTGAGACTCACTCTGTGCCTTGTCAAACATGGTCTTTATTAATATATTCTACTGGGGCCTTTCACCTGTCCCCAGGCCGAAGTCTGACATATTTCACATCACAGTGAAGATAGAGGCTGCATGTCCCATATATCTGTGTCTCTAGTGTAGGCCTGGGACAGAGAAAATGACCTGAGAGAGTAGAAAGGAGAAAAGGAAGGAACCCAGCAAGAGAAGCTGAAGTGGCCACCTTAGAAGGAAGATCTCCTCAGTTCTGTCCTGAAATGTCACCTGGTTCTGCTAAGCAGAAGAAGGACCCCTGAAGCAGGAGTCAGGAGATTACCACAGACCTCTGCCAGGCCTCTGTGCTCTCCATGCCCTCTTTCCACCAGAAAGCTTTCTGGGAGGTAAAGGAAGAAGATAGCTGTGGGCTCCCAAGTTGTTCCCTCGGTTCTGCTGTGAGGTGGAGGGAGGGCAGTAATAGCTAAGTAAGATGGTATCAGCTAGGGGCTGTTGGCTCACACCTGTAATCCTAGCTACCCCGGAGGCTAAGATCTGAAGACTACTGTTTGAAGCCAGCCAAGGTAGGAAAGTCTATGAGACTCTTATCTCCATTTAACTACCAAAAATCTGGTAGTGGATCCATGGCTCAAGTGGTAGAGCATCAGCCTTGAGAGAAAAAGCTAAGAAATAGTACCCAGGTTCTGAGTTTAAGCCCCAGAACTGAAAAGGAAAGGAAAGGAAGGAGGGAAGGAAGGAAGAAAGAAAGAAGGAAAGGGAAAGGGGGAGGGAGAGGGAAAGGGAGGAAGGAAGAAAAGAAAGAGAAAGAAAGAAAGAAGGCAGTAAGGAAGAAGGGAGGAAGGGAAGGAGGGAGGGAAGAAGCAAAAAAGGGAGGGAAGGAAGGAGGGAAATATTAAGGGAAGTAAGCCAGGCCTAAAGAAACATAGGTCCCATGGTTTCCCTTATTTGCAATTACTAGTATATGTCTGAGACAAGCAGAAACGGTCAGATAAGTTGATGTTAGGCAAAATGAACCCCAAGATAAGGATTCAAATGCTTTTTTTCTTTCTTGCAATTGTTTCTAACACATTTATAAGACGATTTCTTTGTTGCTTTATATGTCCCTCCCCCACAATATATCCCGTTTTCACTGTATTTGATGTTGGTATAATTTGGAGAGGGGAAGGGGGAAAAACATCATTTAAATGGGGATACAGGTGGACCCATTGCAACAATGAGATGCACAAGACGTTATGTCAAAAAACGAACTTTACAACTTTGGCGGGGGGTGATGGTGAGGGGGAAGGGTGGAAGATGGGAAGGGATGGGAAGGGGAAACAAAGGAGGAGGCAACAATGCTTGATAAGAAATGTACTCATTACCTTGCCCATGTAATTGT